GCCTTAGTAGGAACTTAGCCAATCACGGTAAAATATCCACTACGAGTAATACGAAATAAATAAATTTCTTGAATGTTACGAAATATTTCTCATCATAATTCTTTATAGACTTTATTTAACACCAGAATATATCGTAGTAGAGACTTAGGAGAGTGTGAGGTCTAACAAGGGCAGGATATAGTTTAGAATGACCTCACTAGTCGTAAAATAAGAGTAATTAAGAAATATCTACCTTGTTGCCTCTATGGGTGTTTACCTGTTGCTACATGATGGACGATGTTAAAAAAAATTATACAAAATTTTTTTACGGAAAACATGTTTTTAAAGGATAAAACTATTCCAAAAATAACCTAACTCATTTTGAAAATATAATTATTAGTTAGATAAGGTAATAGTTTACTTTTTATCTACTTTGATAGTAAAAATATTAATAATGAGTCAGGAATATTGTTCGTGGTATTTATCAAGCATTAGTCATCTTACAGCATGACGTAACGTTATACATGATGGTAAACTTAACTATTTATCTTTATCTCTATATACTGTACTTTGAATAATTTGTTTCCGGTTAAGTTAATAAATGCCCCTCCAACTACCTGTCTATCTAACTATCCGTTTATCTCAACCCATCTTTCTATACCCATATATCTATCTTGTCAATCACTCTAACTGTAAATCAATATACAGTATGTTATCTGTCTAACTTTGGAATCAATATAGGGAGAATATTTTAATCACGTTAATTAATATTACAAAAGGTCTGGTTAAAGTCTCCCTTACGCCCTTGTCATTTTTTACGACTAAGAGATATGTAAGTTTACTGTAAATATCTATATCCATTGATGCAGTCAAAGCTATTCAATACTTCACCTTGTTCACTCAATAGATCATAAAACATAAAAAAATTAGTTATGGATTTACCGAATTTTTTAGTATATTGTGATTTACAGATAAATAACATTGTAGTGGATTTCTCCCCTACAAATTTTTTTTGAAATCTGAACACTTCTTTGGAGAATTCTGAAGCCATATGCAGTTATATTGAGGAAATTAGAACATTGAAAATTTTTAATTAACTGTATATTTATTGACAGTGTACAAATTCCCAACACACACACAAAAGTGAGACATGACTGGAGTCATTCATGTGGTTTCAAGTCGACCAGCCCTGATATGTGGAGGCCCCTGGGCAGCTGCCCACTTTGCCCACTCCTGAATCCGGCCCTGGTGTGACCCACTTGTATTATGGGAGGGTGGGGGGTGCCTCGCTCCCCACAGATACTTCAATATGTCATAAATGGTAACTACATCAATCAGAATGTAAAATTCCACTAAAAGTGACTGAATTAAGGTTGTAATAATGTCCGTGACTCTTCCTCCAGGCGCTGTCTGTGTTGTCACCACTACCAAGGTTCGGTAGCCATCTATGGGCAAGATGGTCTTTGAAGGGTGTTTTTAATATGGCGAGATTAGAATGTGAGGACAGGAACACCGTGCTAAGACGCGCTGCATCGAGTCTACCCCGGGCACTACCATGTAACTAAGTTATATGTGATTGGGGATAATTAGCAGAAACATAATTGTCCCAAGTTAAGTATTGAAATCAAACACTTGGCTGTTGCCAGTGTTAATACCTGTTATATGTCATGCCCAAGGTGAAATGTGGAAAAGTTTTATCCTCTTCACCACTGATCGGCTCGTTAGCCGCTTGGTCACGTCTCTGTCGCACACTGTTGGCAAGTACTGGGCATGTACTGGCTCCTGAATGTACCTGAACCTGCTCCAGTGTTGGTCAAGTCTGGTCTTGAAACAGCTCACACTCGGTGCCGTCACAACACTCTCTGGCAGGTTGTTCCAACAGTTCACAATTCTTACTCCAAAAAAGTTTGCCCTCACAGTTTTCTGGACTTGTGGCTTCTTCAACCTTGAGCCGTGACCCCTTGTGGGGCGAGCGTCCGCCAGCTCCAAGTAAAGATGCCAGGTTGCTCATTCTCAATGACATGATGTTGTAACAAATGATTATATGTCCCTAAGATATCAATACTTCACAGAGGAGAAATATAGGATAGTTATTAGGACTCACCGTATAATACCAAGACACTTATAACACATCAACCTTTCTTAATAAGGGACGGATGAATTAGAACTCTTATTAACGGTTACTGTATTTATTGAGTTAAGGTTTAACAGCTACACTTCAAAATAATAAACCAATGTTCCTAGCTAGTTAAACGGGGACCATGTATCTCACAACAAATGGGAACTTAAGGATTTACCAAATAGAATACACCCAAATAGCTGCCATGTAGCCACCACAGACATCCCACACCTCACTACAGCACAGCCCTAAGGCTTTCACACTATTGGCTAGAAATTGGCGGGAACTCCCGGGTGGCGGGAAACTCACGACATTGTTACAATGTAATTAATGTGGAAATATCTATGATATTGACAAGAGTGTAAAATAACCATCTTGTTTGTCAAAGAAATAATTTTACAGTTGTTTAATATTATAACAAGTAAGTGAAGATCTATTTTGTCAATTGTAAAAGAAAACCTTAAGTGGTCCAGTCTTGTCTGAGTGTATTTAATTAACATCTTGTTCACTCCTAAATTTAATAAATATTGAATTAATAAACTACGAGTATTACCGCTCATTACCTCAGAAAGTAACTACTGTACCTCATGTGCCTAAGCTGCCCTACAGTGGATAATAGTCTAACAAAAGCCTGGGTGGTGGCAGTCTTCCTCTCAACATGTCACCTCATAGCCAGTGGAAAGTTACAGAGGGTGACAAATCAAATGTAATTAACCCATTTATATAATACTTCTGCCTATAAGACTAGGGCTATATATACAGTACATAGAAAAGAAACAACACAGAACATAATATAAATAGAAAATTATAGAGAAATCTAAAATATAATATAGAGAGAAGATAAATAAAAGCACATGTATAGTTTGACCAGAACATCACAACCCAAAGCCACATTTTGGGTAGTATCCCCTAGTTAAGACGTCGTCCCCACCCTCTCCCTCCTGAAGCCACACCACACAGAGTCCTCCACCGCCACCCGTCCTGTGGACCGTCAGTGACTAAGTGTGTTAACCTGGGTTGTTAGCCCCGTGGAAATATCATGTGTGGATGCCTGGTTGCAACAAGAGCAATCCAGGCTGGCCTATCAAACCTACAGTAAATGGTTAATCAAGTCACGCTTAGAGTTCTCCTGCACGACACCCGTCTACAGTGACCGTGATCGACACGAGACTAAGTGTGTTAACCTAGGTTTGTTATCCCCGTGGAAATATCACGTGTGGAAGCCTGGTTGCGACAAAAGCAATCCAGGCTGGTCTATTGAACCTATGTGGTTAATCAAGTCTCACTTACCAGTTCCCCTTGCTGCGACAACCGTCTACAGAGACTGTCAATGACGAGAGACTATGTGTGGTAACCCAAGAGTTCCTTTTTGTTGTTATTCCCTGTGAAAGAAGTTCTTGTGTGGATGCCTGGTTGTGACAAGAGCAATCCAGGCTGGCAGTAAATGTATCACTTGAAGAATTAAGGATCTGTTAAGTCATACCCATAGTAGAGTAATCACATGTGTTCCCAAGTTGAAAATTCCCTCTTTTAGAAGATGAATTTTATTACAGCGTGAACGTGAGTGACTCATATATCCATGCAAATTGTAAATCATTGTATGGAAGCTTGACAAATAAATTTAAGTGCAATTATCTGCCCGTATCTGTGATCCTATCTTATTATTACTAAAGGTAATGACTGATTGGTTATGACAAAGTATAACCAATAACTTAGATGGATGTTGGAAATTAATGGAACTCACTAAATCATCATTTATTAAGTATAAATCATGGAATGTCGGGCGGTGGAGTGAACTTCTACGTAGATACACCATAACCTCCTGTAAGTAACCAGTGTGAAGGTGTCCAACTCTACGGTAAGAAATATAAGAAACACAATATATTATAATCTTTATATAATATAATCCACACTTAGACCATTACCATAAGGCATAAGGACACAATAGATAGGAAAATTGAGATGTGAAAACCATAAGAATTCAAAGTGAAAATAAAAAATTGGAAACTATAGGCCTAACCTCAGTGCGAGAGGCGAGGCGCTAGGCCCCAGTCGTGCCCCGCTCTTCAACCAAACAGGTCAGTGAACTCCATCGTGCTCTATCCAGCCCTAAATAAAGACTTATTTAGCAGTTTTTACATCTTAAAACCTTGCCTGATGTTATAAAGTGAAGTAATAGTTGTACTAGTGTGTGGTGATAATAGCCCATTATACTTAGTCGTGCCTCGCTCTTTGGTACCAGGCGTTCAGAGCGTCGGCACTGTGAGGGATGCACCGGGTGTGGTGTGTCTACTTACGGCCATTATGCTCCTCCACTGTGAACCTGTGCATACCCTACATATCACCACCCAGGATAGGAGAAGATAATTGCGTGTTTGAGAAGTTTCGCGGTCGCTACTTGGGGTGACCTAAGGATACCAGACGTGGAAACAGTACTGGTATGATTGCTTGGGAAGTATCCCATCAACTCAGCAAAAGTAGAGTGTACCCGGGATGTGGTGCTGTAATGTAACATGTGGTGGTTTACTCTAACAGGTGGAGCAGCCTGATGTGTTGGGCGTTATGGATGACCGAGGTAAGGAGGTCAGTGAATGTTATGAAGATGGAAATAGTGCTTAGTTGACGTGTATTGAGGTGAAGTGTAATGAACATAATAGTGGTTCTCCTGAGGACGGCCAACTCTTCTTGTATTGTGACGGGATGCCATATGTTTTATAAGGAATAAATTAGTTAAGTCATGATTGATGTTTCACCCTTCTTCCCACTATCAATTTGGTCAATGAAAAACCCAACCCAATGCCTAGCTTACTCTGCCCACTACCTAACGAGCTACATACTGCCCAGAGGGGGACTGGTGGCAGCGACCTTAAATTTAAGACTATAGCTACGTTATCCCCTTAGACTTAGTGACCCCAGAATCTGGCAGTATACTACAACCCTAACGTAAACAGCTGCAACTTCTCTGGCATCTTCAATGTTTCCTTTGATAAATGCTTCCCCCTCAAGACTAAGGTATTAAAAACTGCCCAAACCCTACAGTACATTAACAGTGAAATAAAGGCAATTATAAAATAAAAACACAAACTCCAAAGGAAATTTGCAAAAGACCCATAACTTTAGGTGATGCTTATCAAGGTAGCAGAAATAGAGTAACTCAAGCAGTTATAAATGTTAGGCATAGTTATTATACAGAAAACCTGTAGTATCATCAGTTCTCTTCACTCACCTCTTACAATAAATGATTCCCATATATATATCGTGTCTCACTAGTATTGATTTTTCTTAATTTATGGTTCTTTATTATTATATTTTTATAATTTTTAATTTATCTATTTTATTAATTATTATTATTATTATTTTTATTATTATATTTTTGCCCCCAGACATTGGTGTGGGTCACTGACCTGTGCTCTGGTGGGCTAATCCTGTAATAAAAGTGACCACATTAAAGGGTAGTACAGTATAATAGTACAGTTGTGTAAAAGAGTAACTTACTTGTTGAGTGATCAGAGAAATCCCAGGTGATAACAGACGAAGGTTGTCAACCATCAGCATTACACACAAAGGTTACTGGTACACCATCTTTCACTTCCCCACAACCATTGTTCAACTGGTCTTTAACCCTGATCTTAACATCCACTGGAGGCCCTGAAGAAAACTCTTCATTAATGCACAATAATAATAATGGGTGGCCCTCGCAGCCCTACTGTCACCAGGGCATGATTTTTTTTTTTTTGAAGGTACAGAAACTTTCATCAACCTCAGCCAATGTTAGCAAGCTGTGAACCCAGTGTCGGGGAATAATCCAAGAGGACTGGACAACTCACAATTACCCCACAACACAATCCACAAATCTATTAACATCCAGGTTTCCATTTACTGCTGGGCAGACAGAGTCCTTGAAGGAAACAACTTACCTATAGATCTGACCCGCCCGGGGATCACTTCCTCTGAGGCTGACCTTTACACCACAGGTTGCCACAACACACACATGCAGTTTCATAAACAATATCGTACCATCTTTCAACCCCAGAAACAACCTCTTAACCCTCCCCGCTGTACATTGTCCCGCAAAGTCATTAATGTTTACTTTCTTCTGCCACGCCACACCACACCACATCTAGGTCTGGTTTGGTTAGGCACTACTCAGAGTACAATACTGTCCCGTACTCACATATCATATCAAGTGTGATGGTCTTGCTCTGTTTACCGACGGCTTCTGTGCAGGTGAATTTACGGTGGAAGTCATCTCGGGTCAGACCAGATAACCAGAGTAGCCGTCAACACAAGTCTGCGTCTGCTCCTCCGGCACTTATCTTGACCCTTCATACCAGGTGAGGTCTGGCACATTCTGACCTTTTAAAATGATGATGAGGTTATGAACAACAAACTACAATAGTAAATCAATAGTAAAGGGACATCTTAGCCCCGTTAAAGCATCTCTCTCTAAAGGTTCTCGGGTACTTAAGTCCTGTCCAATATTATACACACACTACCTGTATACTGACTGTTTGACTCTATTATGGTGGGCAAAATAATAATGAAAACACATTAGTAGGTTTCCTATAGATACTGAACTTAAAGATGTTACCTACTCTGGATCAGACAGTCTAGTAATGGTAATTTATAGTTTAATCTTACATCAAAAGAGGCCAAGACCCAAAAACAGTGCAATTATGTTTTCCAGAACCCTTCATAAGGTAAATTGTTTCTCCCAAACCAATTATAGTGTACAGAGCAGCACAGAATATACCTACGACAACAAACAGGATATTAGTCCACTTACCACTCAATCTTGGCTCACATCTCATGATGCATGGTGTCCATCATGTTGTAAGCAGCATCTTTTGGGTTAAGACATTAATTAATAAGCTATTAAATTAGTCAACTAAGTCTACATTATTTAAAAAAAACAGAATTTGATATGTTGGCATGTACACAGTTTAGTGAAGCATCAACTACTGTATTTAGACAGTTAATTCCTATAATGGTTCCTGCTGGGTTACTTGGCTTGTTAGTGCAGCATTAATGAGACCAAGCATGAAGGGCCATTAATGAGGACAGGCATGCAGCATTATTGAGACCAAGCATGAGGGGCCATTAATGAGGACAGGCATGAGGGGCCATAAAATCATAGATCATATATTGAAAGCACAACACCAGGAAGCATTTCAACTACAGGTACAACACCACAGACACATTTCACTAAGAACAATTAAGCCAAAAGGGAATACAAGTATATGACAACATCAACATAGATCTGAGACTACTGTTTGATGAATATTTCTGAAGAGTTTTCATCTTTTCATGGCTCTGCCCTGTGAACTACTGAACACCTCAACAAGAAGCATCTGACCTTTCTCACATTTACCCAAGTGACAGAGTGGAGTTTACATCTCAAAATTAACAATTCAAGAGTCAGGCAAATGCACTGATGCCACATTTATCAGAAACTACTCCAATGGATCTTTTGAACATCATTTACACATATTTTGAACAATATAAAACTGATGTAGCTCTGAAGATTTACTCAAACTAACTACAGTACAAATGACCTGCGTTCACCACTCTAACACGGCTATTATATACATACCGTACAATAGAAAATAACAAACTCTCTGGACCAAGACACTGATATTGACCATTTAAGAAGCATCTATAATAAACAGAGTAACTCATGTCCACGAGCAAATTCCAAGTAGTATCATGATAACTTGTTAGTAAAATGCAATATACTGTACTGTAGTGAAGAGAGTGTTATACTTACATCCTGGTACTGTACTTTAATGTTGCAGGAGAGGTTAACATTATCATCAATGGTCGGGTCTTATCCTTAATCTCCATGTCACTGTCACTTTCTGAGATGAAGACACTGCCAGCCCCTGTAGTGAACGACAAGTAAACAAAATACTGTATTAAACTGTAAATATTTGACCCCTCATCAGAAATAACCCCATAAATAATGACAGATAACAGTAATAATGATAGTACTGTACAACATCAATAATTATATGGTTAACAGTAAAGGTCATTTGAGTTGATGGCGGCGAACCAACAAATGTCGGCTAAATCACATTCTCGTCTCAACAGGATTCCCGACTCTTTCTCTACCCAATAGAGGAGCCGTTGGTCACTATCTATGGGAGCACCTCATCTGTAGTACTTACTCTGGGGGTTAATGTGGGAATGGTTGGTGTAATATACAGAGTATATGATAATATAAAAACAGAAAATATTACTGTATCAATTATATCATTTACTAAAATATAAGAAGCATTTGCAAGAACATTTTATGCAAAGTAAAATAGGTTTTAAAACTGTTAATATATTTATCACACTTATGTACTGTATATTGTTTTTCATGGACTTTGAGCTTCATAAAATACTAAACCTAAAATTTGTGGTAGCTCAATATGCAAATCATCATACAGTATTTAAAAATGTATAAACAAACAAACACTTACAGATAGATTATGAGATAGACAGATACTGTAGATAGATAATGGTTGTCCCCCGGGTACGAGGATGGCCGGTCCAAGGGCTACCTAGGGGTGAATTTGTTTAAGGTGTAGAAGCTGTCACCAACACAACAACCACACCCTGAGTTAACGAGCTGCATGACCCAGTGTTTAAGGTGTAGAAGCTGTCGCCAACACAACAACCACACCCTGTCACCAACACAACAACCACCCCCTGAGTTAACGAGCTGCATGACCCAGTGTTTAAGGTGTAGAAGCGAGCTGCATGACCCAGTGTTTAAGGTGTAGAAGCTGTCACCAACAACAACCACACCCTGAGTTAACGAGCTGCATGACCCAGTGTTTAAGGTGTAGAAGCTGTCACCAACACAACCACCACACCCTGAGTTAATGAGCTGCATGACCCAGTGTTTAAGGTGTAGAAGCTGTCGTCAACACAACAACCACACACTGAGTTAACGAGCTGCATGACCCAGTGTCAAGGAATAGTCCGAGAAGACCGGACAACTCGCCAACTGCACTGGCTAACCATTACCCCGGGACACAATCAGCAAATCGATTAACATCCAGGTCCCCAATTACTGCTGGGTAGACAGAGGCAAATGGCGTAAAGAAACTTGACCATAGTTTCACCCTGTCCGGGGACCGAACCTGGGACCAGTCACTTGTGAGGCGAGCATGCTGACCACTACACTACAGGCCGCCACGAGATACATAAATAGGTAGATAGACAGATCATAATATTTACTAAGTTACAGTAAACAGAACCATAATACAGTAGCTGAAATACAACAAACCTTTCACTATTTTATGCCAATTATTTCACACTAAACAAAACTTGAAATACAATCAAATTAGGCTCAATATGTCACTCATGTAAATAGTATCCATTAAATTGGTGAAGTTTCTCTGTACTAATAATAAATGTAAGTGTTATTAAACCTCATTGATGATCTACAGGTATACTCCTTGACTCCTCCTATATACAAAGGTGATATACTGTACACAATAAAACTGGTCTCTTTCAAATGGATAAATGTTGACCAGCTTATAATAAAAGGCTATATACTGTACAATTTGTCCCAAGTTTCATTAATTCTTGGCCAAATATATATAACTATTTATATTATTTCATGCTTATTTCATCAAAGCTCGACGCATCTCCTACAAAGTTATAATAATGCCCAACACTATAAGATGCATTTTCGGGGCATATATTCTTATGCCGCTGACCAACACCTCCCGATACACATCATTGTGCATTTTCAATTTTACACTTGTGATACATTAATATGCCACTAACTACAGTCATCCTTCTGCACCATTTCATATACCGTGATAGTTTTATAGCATGTTTATTAGGGCTATGAAACACTATAGTCACCCACATAGTGACAGTATTATCACCGATCATAACACGAGTTTACTTACACGTACGGTATATAATTACGGCAGGGATTGATAATTAGTTTACGCATCTATTACAATCTTTTCAATACATATACAGTATCATCAGCAAGTGTCATCAGTTATAAACTTCTAATTTATTACTATTCTATCACTCAAAAATCAGACACTCACTCCAAGCTGAAAGACAGGGAACAAACGCCCGTCTCCTGTGAAGTACTTTGACCAGTAGCATCAGACTTATGTCATCAAGAACCAATCACAGCTCGAAAAGTCTTCTATTTGGCAACACCTAGGAGGGAATACTCTCTTGCCCAGGGCAGAATAACATAAAATAATCTATACTGTACCTGAGCTAATTCCTGGATCATTTATTTCCTTAGTTAATGCACCGGGAACCAACACAGACCTGTAGACAAGGCTCAGCCACAGTCAGACCTGGGGAAAATAAACAAAGTGTAAAGGAGGGAGTTATTTGATGTATTTTCTTATTAATTTATCCCATTATGGTTAACTTTTAAACTCTTCAAACTTTTTCCTTCTTTCTTTTTCTTATTTCATAAAGTATAGAAAGTAGTTATAGCTTAGTTTTGTTACTTCATACAGTTACTCCATAACTGAGGGTTATGACACGTGGGTATACTGTACTGTACTGTATCAACCAATGGAAAAGAATGACGGTAAAATAGTACGTTACTGTACACTTGGATGTGTCAAACTGAGACTACCAACTCATTTCCATTTCCTAAGGTTTGCTTCTCAAACTACACTCTGACTGAGCTGTTGAAGACAAGAATTAAATTGATTTCAAGGTTGAGGATGGTAGTCCCTGGTGGGCGGAGCCTAAGAAAAGCAGTATCGGGTTACACCCGTTAGATTCTCAAAGATGCCTGGTCTGACAGTTCCTTTCAGGTTAATTAATTACTTTCATAATTAACATCCTGACAACAATTTCACCATGAACATCAGGTTCTCTGATGTTCATGTGTGTAAAAGAGGTAACGTCAGCCTAGGTCAACAATCACTGGCATCTCTAGGGCCGACGTCAACGATACCTTACTCTCACTGCCGACTCTACCCTGACTTATATTGACAATTACGTTAACAGTAAACACAATTGAAGCTTTAAACATCAGTCACAACGGATCTTGAATGCTTCATTTGTAATTAGACATCTCTAAGTTGACGCAAAGCAAGGGTGTTCCCTCACCAATTCAAATTTCATGAACACCCCGTGTGGTATTTTGGATTACCTGAGTCTTTCCGGTAATGCGACACAGAAAACAGAGGACTCGGGTCTCCTGAAGTGATTAGAGAACAAATGTTTCAACTGGGAGACTCAAAAGGTTTACAGGTTTGGTGGGCATGGAGCGTGATATGAATTATTAGGTTTTAACAGACCAGCCATGTCATTATGACCACGACACTGCTCCTCCCTTCCCCAAGATTCATATTAAGCAGTAAAGTTCACAAAACATGTACTGTAATTACATTGATTCCTTAAATAACTGTTATTTTCTGTTATTGGTTTCACGATATGGTGCACACACTGTGAGACGTTACAGATACAACATACTGTACCATACAATAAATCATGTTACATATTACAGAATACACTTTAATATTGGAAGATAAAATGCACAACCAAATACATTAAATTACAGAACACACATTTCAATGTTCACAAGCACAGGAAAGTTTCTCTTAGGCGTTGGTCAAATGCTTACTGAACACCCTGAGATTTAACATAGATTTCTCAAACTAGGACATAGATGACCGGACCCCATCGAGCCGGAGGAATGATTTGTTTTACTCTATTACGAAGAGTCATGTCACACTCACGAGATGGAGCAACATCGAGGGAGCCCGAACGAGCGGAGATATTCCCAGGAATCCTACGCAAAATGAAACCGTCCTTATGGGAACCCAACCAAACCAAGGAGTGTCTGTTACTTATAGCATTAACCATGTAGCGGTATCAGTGCCGAGCTTCCATACCCGGTACTACTGACAAGCCACAAACACCACACCTACAGTATACACCAACAACAGGACTTGAGATCTCACACCTGGTATCTTTACTCACTCCAGTAACAGATACCCTTCAGATGATTGTACACTTATGCCAATCCATCGTACAATCTCTATGTCCTTACTGCATCCTTGACAATCCCTCTACAAAATACTTAAAACAATTCTCAATTCTCTCACTTTCTTCTAAAAATCACCAAAAGCCACGTACAACACAACAAGATCGTGCACTTCACCATGGCACATCAACAACCAAGAAGGTCCAGTTTAAAGCTCTACAACCCTTTGAAGATATCTCGACAACACTGATGCCGGTGTCTCTCATTAACTAGTACAAGAGGCATTCCTTACTCTTCTTCCCTCCTACACCTTCCTGTCCATCAGACCGTTCTCCTGATGAGACAACTGGTGGCTGCCCTGAACTGTCCCCTTGTGACGGCCATCATGCCTGGAGGTCACAACTCACTGTAACTACACAACACAACACAGTGGACGCCTTCAAATACATAAAAACACCTGAAATACTGCTCAAATTATCCATCACCACCACTAGTGATAATACTGGATGTGAGAACTTTTACTTTAAGGCTTCACAGGTGAATACATGAGGAAAATGTATCACTGTATTCTTTTGTCACTTATCAGGACACACTTACTGTACACACTCAAAAACAATGGTAGTAACAATGGTGCAACACTGTGTGAACCATTACTCTGTGCTGTACTCACACAATTGATCGTCCTTACATGTAATTTCAACAATCCATTTTCAAAGATTGTATTCTTTTGAAGGTGTCCATTTCACTAAAGAGTCTCCAACCCAATCAATGCAATTGCTGATATTATACATGTATTAGTTCTCAAATAATATAGTACACTTACTGACAATGCCTGGAAGTCTATACTGCTGGAAACTCACGCCCTATGCATTAAAATTATTAGCTAATAGAAACAACACAAAAATACAATAATACCAAATATAAAACTAAACTCGTGTTATATTGATAAATTAAATTGTCATAAACTGACGTCGACCGAGAGCTAAAACACTTTCTACTTAGTTCACGATTACGGTCACCAGCACTGAAAAAGTAATGAAATAAACACAAAATTATATAACACTCAACTCGGGTTATACAAAGTAAATTCAATACAGTAATATGAAAAAAAATACATCGTGAGAATTTCAACACTTCATATTGAATTAACAACAAAGACATCAAATAAATGTACCAGTCACAAATAAGATTATATTACATAACCTTGATACGTATAATACTTCTGGCGATACTCCGTAATGAACCACTGGGCATTACTCTCGTGTCTTGGCTCGAACATATACCCACTGTCTGTAGTAAGTAATAACACAAGCTGGGATAAACACATTGGGGCAGATTGTCACTCATAAAAGAACTTCAAGTATTAATGAACCTTATCTAAACTTGTTAAATTCACAGGCCAATAATGTTGTTAAGCAATGGTTAGGCAGTTGGTGTTAATTTTTCAGACAACTATCATTACTCTGAATATTTCATGTTTCCACACAACAGCATTACAAGTACAATTTATTTTAAAAAAGATTTATATTTTTCTTTGAGGCAATTATTCTAAACTAACTTCAAGTGGACCGGTATTTACTTTAAACTGTTAATTCATTTTATCTATAAAACCACAAAAAGAAAAATTCTGTACATTTCCTTAACACTGTGTCCACTATACAAAATTGGGACCAAATGAAATAATTAGTCCCTACTTAATTAGCACAGAATTACATACTATACTGTACACTGAAAAATATGGTACAAATTATTAGGAATCTGAAATAATCATTTGTTACAGATAAATGGTCATTAAGTACCTGTACAGATAAATGGTCATTAGGTACCTGTACAGATAAATGGTCATTAGGTACCTGTACAGATAAATGGTCATTAAGTACCTGTACAGATAAATGGTCATTAGGTACCTATACAGATAAATGGTCATTAGGTACCTGTACAGATAAATGGTCATTAGGTACCTGTACAGATAAATGGTCATTAAGTACCTGTACAGATAAATGGTCATTAGGTACCTGTACAGATAAATGGTCATTAGGTACCTGTACAGATAAATGGTCATTAAGTACCTATACAGATAAATGGTCATTAAGTACCTGTACAGATAAATGGTCATTAGGTACCTGTACAGATAAATGGTCATTAAGTACCTATACAGATAAATGGTCATTAGGTACCTGTACAGATAAATGGTCATTAAGTACCTGTACAGATAAATGGTCATTAAGTACCTGTACAGATAAATGGTCATTAAGTACCTATACAGATAAATGGTCATTAAGTACCTGTACAGATAAATGGTCATTAAGTACCTATACAGATAAATGGTCATTAGGTACCTGTACAGATAAATGGTCATTAGGTACCTGTACAGATAAATGGTCATTAAGTACCTATACAGATAAATGGTCATTAGGTACCTGTACAGATAAATGGTCATTAGGTACCTATACAGATAAATGGTCATTAAGTACCTGTACAGATAAATGGTCATTAAGTACCTATACAGATAAATGGTCATTAGGTACCTGTACAGATAAATGGTCATTAGGTACCTGTACAGATAAATGGTCATTAAGTACCTATACAGATAAATGGTCATTAGGTACCTGTACAGATAAATGGTCATTAGGTACCTATACAGATAAATGGTCATTAAGTACCTGTACAGATAAATGGTCATTAAGTACCTATACAGATAAATGGTCATTAGGTACCTGTACAGATAAATGGTCATTAAGTACCTGTACAGATAAATGGTCATTAAGTACCTATACAGATAAATGGTCATTAAGTACCTGTACAGATAAATGGTCATTAGGTACCTGTACAGATAAATGGTCATTAGGTACCTGTACAGATAAATGGTCATTAGGTACCTGTACAGATAAATGGTCATTAAGTACCTGTACAGATAAATGGTCATTAAGTACCTATACAGATAAATGAATATTAAGTACCTGTACAGATAAATGGTCATTAGGGGTACCTGTACGAATAAATGGTCATTAGGTACCTATACAGATAAATGGTCATTAGGTACCTGTACAGATAAATGGTCATTAAGTACCTATACAGATAAATGGTCATTAGGTACCTGTACAGATAAATGGTCATTAGGTACCTGTACAGATACCGGTAAATGGTCATTAGGTACCTGTACAGATAAATGGTCATTAAGTACCTGTACAGATAAATGGTCATTAGGTACCTATACAGATAAATGGTCATTAGGTACCTGTACAGATAAATGGTCATTAAGTACCTATACAGATAAATGGTCATTAGGTACCTGTACAGATAAATGGTCATTAGGTACCTGTACAGACTTAGATAGAGACTGAAGAAGCCATAGGTGGGTGGAGGGGCCTCTGCTGTACCAAGATATATATTAAACAAACCATAGATAACATTTCTATAATTTTCTTCATTAATTAAGGAAATATAAGAAAAATTATAAACCTCTATGACTTTAAATAACAATTAATAGGTTAATTATATCACAGTTTATACACATACTCTCTGGACCAATCAGAGTTTATACACACTCTCTGGACCAATCACAGTTTATACACAAACTCTCTGGACCAATCACAATTTATACATACAAACTCTCTGGACCAATCACAGTTTATACACACACTCTCTGGACCAATCACAGTTTATACACAAACTCTCTGGACCAATCAGCGAACAGTATCATTCGAACCGCTGTGTTTACAAACTCATCAGGGTGGTGAAGGTCTCGACTCTCCTCATCATTATCATCATTATTAACCTCTTCTGAGTGTTAATCTGACTTAATTAACCATGACAGATAAACACCATGACTTTGATGTTAATAGAGCTTTAATTATGCTGATTTAATAAGGAGATTATCGATAAATCAAGAGAATTATCAGACTCACTCCCCGTCTTCCAGGCCATAATGAAGAACCTCCAGCTCACAGGTACTAATATATCACTTTATTATTATTATCTCTACTTTAACCTCTATAACACCAGCCATTAACACTCTATGACACTTAACACGAGCCATTAACACTCTATGACACTTAACACGAGCATTAACTATACTAACACGAGCCATTAACACTCTATGACACTTAACACGAGTCATTAACCTCTATGACCTTAACACGAGTCATTAACACTCTATGACACTTAACACGAGTCATTAACACTCTATGACACTTAACACGAGTCATTAACACTCTATGACACTTAACACGAGCCATTAACACTCTATGACACTTAACACGAGCCATTAACACTCTATGACACTTAACACGAGTCATTAACACTCTATGACACTTAACACGAGCCATTAACACTCTATGACACTTAACACGAGTCATTAACACTCTATGACACTTAACACCAGCCATTAACACTCTATGACACTTTTGGGTTATATTACGTTAACCACAAAATTCTGTTAATTCACTACATTAAGGTGAAAGAATTATTTATGATATGAATTTCTTTGTATTATGTTAGGAGAGGTAAGACATTTTGTATTAGATTATGTTATTGATGTAATCTGTAACATTACAGTATAGTACAGTACAGTCTAGTACAGTGCAGTAAAATACAGTATAGTACAGTACAATACAGTATAGTACAGTACAATACAGTATAGTACAGTACAATATAGTATAGTACAGTACAATACGGTATAGTACAGTACAACACAGTACAGTGCAGTCCAGTACAATACAGTGCAGTGCATTGTAGTACAGTGCAATACAGTATAGTGCAGTGCAATACAGTATAGTACAGTCCAGTACAATACAGTGCAGTGTAGTACAGTGCAATACAGTACAGTACAGTGCAGTGCAATACAGTATAGTACAGTACAATATAGTATAGTACAGTACAATACGGTATAGTACAGTACAACACAGTACAGTGCAGTCCAGTACAATACAGTGCAGTGCATTGTAGTACAGTGCAATACAGTATAGTACAGTGCAGTACAATATAGTATAGTACAGTAAAATGCAGTATAGTACAGTATATTACAGTACAATACAGTACAGTGCAGTACAATACAGTATAGTACAGTACAATACGGTATAGTACAGTACAACACAGTACAGTGCAGTCCAGTACAATACAGTGCAGTGCATTGTAGTACAGTGCAATACAGTATAGTACAGTGCAGTACAATATAGTATAGTACAGTAAAATGCAGTATAGTACAGTATATTACAGTACAATACAGTACAGTGCAGTACAATACAGTATAGTACAGTACAATACGGTATAGTACAGTACAACACAGTACAGTGCAGTCCAGTACAATACAGTGCAGTGCATTGTAGTACAGTGCAATACAGTATAGTACAGTGCAGTACAATATAGTATAGTACAGTAAAATGCAGTATAGTACAGTATATTACAGTACAATACAGTACAGTGCAGTACAATACAGTATAATGCAGTACAATATAGTACAGTGCAATCCCAGTACAATACCAGTGCAGGTACGCCAGTACATTGCAATACAGTACCAGTACAGTGCAATACAGTATAGTACAGCACAGTGTGGCTCCCTGTACACTGCACGGTGGATCAATACGAATGCAGCACAGTGTGGCTCCTGTACACACTACACTGGTGGATCAATACTGTACAACACTCACTGCTGGTTAATATAGTCCTCACTTAATGTCGTGGTTACGTTCTTGAAAAACACAACGTTAACGGAAACTATAACAGAATAAATTTTCCCCATAAGAAATAGATAAAATACGCTAGTTACGTTCCCCAGCCTCCCTTTGACCCATAAAATACATTACATATATAGAAATTCAATGTCATTTTTATAGAGAATAGTGTATATAAATAAACAAAGTCATTTAGTATTGTACTCAGTGATGGACGGAGCGAGTGTGTGGTGGGCGGCGGCGAGTCACCCAGACCTGGCTCCTCCTCCCGGCTTAAAACCTCCATTTTCGTAGGAAGGCTAATGGTCTTAGGTTGATTCTTCACAACACTAGGATCAGTATCATTGATGGTGTCTTGGAAGCTATTTTGATTGGTTAGAGTAAAGTATTAAGAGCAAAATTACTTCAACACACACCAACTCTATGGAAGCCTAACAAAGACCAACGACGCTAGAGAGGCAAGACGAGAGGGTGATGCGGCGTAAAATGTCGTCCGCGGTGACGCTAAAAACGACGTTATCTCGAGTCGTCGCCACGTTAACCGACTAAGTATCTAAAGAGTAGCGTAGCTATAACAAAACACCGTTATCGGGGCAACGTAACGAGGATAATAACATAAACCCTCTTACTGTAGCTTTATCTGGTATGTGTTTTATTGTTTTAACTTTGAATTATTTAATACTATTACTGTGGTAACTTGTTCCAGTAAAGAAGAAAGTGTTTATCAGTTGACACCAGGTATGTTGACTCCCTCTAGTAACCCGTACAAAGTT